GAAAACACAATCAAAGTTTTATCAATTCATACAGTTGATATACAAAATAACAGATGGAAAGCCACATATCTTTGCAATCTTTGGGAAGTTTGCTTATCTGTTAGATTCAACATATTCTACTTATCAAGTTTATTAATTGCATGATGAAATCTCCAAAAACGTAAATTTTGAATTACATGTCTATATTATTAAACGTGCGATATGTTCTCAACATTTTGCTACCACGGATATTAGCATTAGCCAGAACAAGACCATACTCTCCAAAAGTGCAGTGCCGCGAAATGAAAGGTAATGGAAAACTGTGTTGGTCAAAACATAGAAAAGGAGTGTTTTTTTCTTCCAGCCTCCAACTTGGGGAACGCTTCGGAAACGAAGAATACTTAGATCAATACATGGAGTTTTTGGATGGGTATTACTTTAATGCTTTTCAATTAGTAATGTTTCGATGGGATTGTTGAATTTATTAAATAAAAACATTTAATAATATTAGTTCTCAGTTTTTGGGGTAGGGGTGAGAAATACCATAAACGTAAGTGCACATACCATTATCCATTGTATTTAGAAGTAAAATTGCATTATTTTTATGCACATATTTTCAATACATACGTAGTATGTATAGCATGTACTAGACTTGTTTGGTTTCGTCTACGAAGCCTATAATATTTACACCCATTAACTCTGAAAGAAATTCCCATCTCGCAATTCCTTAATTTATTTTTAAATATTAACAATGTGGTAACGTTGCTAGCCAGATGAACAGAATAACGAAGCTTCAAAAATCCCAGTATCCCTCAAAACGATGTTAATTGCATGATTCAATTATTAAAGGTTTTGTAAGTAGGGTTCTGTAAGTACTTTGGAAGCAGGAGGAAACGTGCGATATCACTTTTCAAAAAGTAGCGAAGTTCCACAAAAAGGTATTCATAATAGTGCATGGTAGTATTTGCTTTAATTATTTAATTGAAACCAGCTTATTAACATCGAATTTAACCTCTGATTGTTATAAACAGGGAACGGATTTTATGGAAATTGCCTTTTTTTCTGCTAAAGAGATAGAGTATATTCGATTAAGGATGTCCGCGATTTAGCTTTCCCTGATTCCATATATACACATTTGATGTTGCCTTTTTTGCCTTTTTAAGATATTTGCCTTTTTCGTCTTTTCTACCTAAAAGGCCAGTATGCAGCTCTCAAGAAAAGCAAAAACTCCATATAAAATTACGTACAAGAAGTGGATAAGGAATTTTCTTGTGTCAAATTTACTTAAGGCAGTGCGCAGTTCTTTAGAAATTTGCTACGCTTTCTAGTGCGGTTTTCTAAAGTTTTGTGAAAAAAGAGTACAAGGCAACCCATGTTTGCAACAGAAATATATGCCCGTTCCATTATTTCTTGAGGAAAGAGTGCGGCAACAGGATGAGAAGTATCAGATGTCAATTTTTTTTGTACATGTGGGATACACTTCCAATAATTTTCACTTTGTTTAAAAGAAATTTTATTTAAGACTTTTACCTTTGTGAACTTTGTCTGATATCAAATTTATTAAAATTTCTTTCCCAAAGGATACAATCATCTTTTCAACTAAATATTCTATATTTTTGGTGACCCCGACACACACACAGAAGAAAAATGTCTGTAAGCCGATCTCCTGTTCCTCCAGCGAATCCCCCTAGAGGAGATGGCATATCGGATAATGTAGAGGTCAGAGCGGTAACGGTATGCAAGCTACGTCCCTTTTGGTCCGAACAGCCACAGCTATGGTTCGTTCAGGTGGAAACTCTTTTCACTTTCGCGAATCAGGAGAGATGAGACAAAATACGCGCACGTCGTCGCTAATTTAGGTGCAGTACATTTGTCGGAGACCTTTTGCTATCTCCACCAGAAGACGATAAATATGAAGCCATCAAGCAACGCCTAATATCATCTTTTGCCATTTCGAAGGAAGCGAAGTTAAAGAAATTGTTTGGAGGTTTGGTGATAGGAGATCAGAAGCCGACACATTTTTTGTAGTCAATGAAAGCATTGGCAGATGTTTTAAAAATCCTCTTTCTTGACCAGTTGCCGGACAATGTTCGATCAATTTTGGCTACAAGCAATGCAGAGCTTACGGAGCTGGCGCAACAAGCTGACAAATTACTGGACATTTCTCGCCCACAGATAGCAGCCCTATCAAATACTAATAGCGTGATCAATCAATTGTCTGCAAAAATGGAAGTTTTAGATCGCAAATTTAATGAAGTAGTGCACGGGAGAAGTAACAGTAGAGCGAAATAAATGGTAAGTAGAAATAAAAGTAGTAGTAAGTCCAAAAGGAAAGATTGGTGTTAGTACCATAATCGTTTCGGCATCAAAGCATCTAAATGCATTCAACCGTGCTCATATAAACAACCAAAAAAACTAGCAAAAGTTTCGGGTCCCGCGGCGCTCGAAATTTTATCAAGTACTAGTCGCCTTTAAGTAAACGATCGTTTTTCAAATCTCTCTTTCTTAATTGATACTGGTGCTGACGCTTCTGTCATTACGGCAACAAATTTAACAGTTCAACAGCTTACTACATAGGTGTCCATTGAAACTTTATGCCGTCAACGGCACTGAAATCAAAACGCATGCTATGAAGTTTTTAGAATTAAACTTTGGTTTAAGACGTTCATTTAGTTGGATTTTTATTGTCGCTGATGTTACACACCCTATTACCGGGTCTGATTTTCTTAAGCATCCCAATTTACTTCCGGATTTACGCAATGGTATTCTAGTAGATGGTACAACCTGCGTTGAAACTAAAGCCTAGCTTACGAGAATTGCGTCCGTTTCTGTTTCACGCATACTGAAGGACAATTCAGAATACATATCAAAAAATTTTAAGACAATTTCCTGAGGTTATAAGTATGAACTCTTCTTTAAAACACCCAAAGGAGACTCTTGCTTTTCATTTCATTGAAACTTTCGGAAAACCTGTTACTGCGAAAGCTCGAAGATAAAATCCTAAGCGCTTGGCAATTGCGAAGAAAGAATTTCAAATTCATGTTAAACCAAGGTATCATCCAACCTTCTAAAAGTGCCTGGGCTGACCCATTGCACATGGTCCCTAAGAAAAATGGGGATTGGCGGCCCTGCGGGGATTACATGTTTTTAAACAAAATAACCTTGCCCAACAAATATTCTATTCCGATTACACTGTGTAAGACCTTACATACAACTTGAATTTAGGAGAAACATTTTTTAAAATCTGCATAGTTTGTCGCATCCTGGTACCAAAGCAACAAGGCGTTTGTTTACCCAAAGATTCACATGGCCCTCTATTAATAAGGACTGTAATCAGTGGGTAAAGTTTTGTTTAAAATGCCAACAAACAAAAATTAATCGACATACCAAGTCGGCTCATGGAAATTTTATAGCGCCAACACAACGATTTTCCAACGTACATTTGGATATAGTTGGGCATTTACCTCCTTCTGAGGGCAAGAGATATCTTTTTACTATAGTAGATCGTTTCACTCGCTGGATGGAAGTAATCGCTCTTAGCACAATTACTGCAGAGGAAATCTGTTGAGCATTTTATGTCAATTGGGTTTCTCGTTTTGGCTGCCCAAGTACTATTCACACGGATAGAGGTAGGCAATTCACATCCAATGTGTTTTGCAATTTGGCAAAATTAATAGGTTCGAAGCTTTACCATAGCACGTCTTTTCACACGCAAGCAAATGGAATGGTAGAGCGCCAGCAGCTCCTATTTCACATGAAAACTCGCAATGGACGAAGGCACTCTCAACAGTGTTGATGGGATTGCGTGCTTCATTTGAAGAGGATATTCAAGCATCAGCAGCTGAGCTCGTCTACGGTGAAACAATTCATTTGCCCGGCGAATTTTTTAACGATGTGTTTGAACGTCTAGATACGCAAGGAGAAGTTCTAAGTAATTTACGACGTTTCATAGCAGAAATGAAACCTATTCCAGCAAGTAATCATACCAAATTCGAGCCCTTTGTTCATAAGGATTTAAAAGATTGCACGCATGTGTGGGTGCGATCCGAACTTAAAAAAAAGACTAGATTTTAGATATGCAGGACCTTTCAAAGTCGTCGAGCGGAACTCTCAAGTATTTTAAAATTCAAATTGGTCAAAAAGAAGAATCCATTTCCATCGATAGATTGAAACCAGTTTTTTCAGATATTTCCAGTTTATTAGCGGTTCATGCAAA